AGTTTTCTTTATTTTTGACTATATATATAGTCTCTTTGTATCTAGGTTTTATTCATTCAATTACATTATGCAGAATCAATAGATCCCTAGCCTCTTTTTCTTCTTCTTCTCTTTGGATTGTTTAACAGAGTTAACTACAGGAATTGTTCCTTATTTCAAAATCTTTGTTCCAAAAAAGTCCACAAACTCACAAAATTGTTTTTCATTCGTACAAACTTGATATTTGCGAATCAAAATTGTTTCCGAGGAATCATAGCGCTTTTTTACGAACACATACAACTCTATCTGTCTCATTTATTGAGAATTTGAGCTTCATTATATTTCGAAAATATTTTCTCATCACTTTCTTAAATTCATCAATATTCCTAAGTGTTATTCCAAATTTCAAGTGCGGGTTATGGATATTTGTCTCAGAACAAAATTCAAGAAACTTATACCTCACCCCATTAATATATTCGTCACTTGTCACTTCATCACACCGAAAATATGTGACATATTGTATGAATCTCCTTCATTCTCATTGTTGTAGCGATGCTCTATACCCAATCCAACTTTCATACCTTCTATATGTTCTTCAAAAGGCAAATCATCATCTTGGTAGAGACCGATGTCTGAACCCCAAAATGTCTTATCCTCCTCTTCAAAAATGAATTCTGAAGGTTGTCATTGAACAAAATCCAATTCGTGTATGTTTATGAAACAAGGCGTAAAGTTCATCAGCCGTTTGTATATTTAACCCTAACATTTGTTGAAGTACTTTACCTCCCACGTTAACTGTTCCATTAGAATTTCACTTATGGATGTCGTTTTTTTTTTCTAAACACACGGAAAACAATTTCAGGGGTCCGAGAGCTTTTTTTGAAACAAAGTTTAGTTCAAGTATCAATTGTGAGTTCGATCGATTTAATCTAGACTAGACGTAAACTGAAACGAGAATGGGAGATACGTGAAAACCCTAATTCTAAAAAAAAGTTAATGCGAGAGAACGAAAATTTGTTCCTTCACTTGACTGTACAACAATGGTGGACATCAAAACGGCATGATTGCACCCATTTTAGCCACCATAAAGAGACCAAAAATTGGCCGGCGGAATTTCTTTACGTGGCAGATGTTTAAGCTACGTCGAACAGTGTGCCAAATCAGTTTTCTACGTGTCGATTTATCCTGGGACAGTTAACAATACTGTTAAGACGTATTTCTATACTTAGCAAAAAATCGTGGAGAAAACCATATTGGACGGTTGTGTGGGTTTTTACTAGGAAATGGACAAAATTTGTAGAGCACTAATGTATTTTTCCTTGCTAAATTGTTTTACACGACTTGTACATTGAACATAACAAAAATATGTTCCATTTTTCTTCCACTACAAGCCATCTACGTTAGCATGCACTTGTCTATGAAATTGAGCGTTAACTACTCGACATCGCATTTATTATGTTACTGGCCTTAACTACTCAATATTTATCTCCTATTCTTTCCCTCGATTATGGTTTAATGACAGAACTCGACGAAAAATACGTCTTTTGTGAGAGTATGAATTATAGGTTTCTATTATTTGCCTAGTTACTAGGGAATAGAGTTGGTGACGTTTAAGGTATTATTGAAGCAACCATTTAATGTGAATTGTTTTATAGTAGGCGGACCAAAACCTTGTTTCAGACTTTCAGTTCTATTTTTTGTCAGTTATAACATTGTTGTTATCAACCACTGACCTTGCGAGGATGCAATTAGTGGACCATAAGGCTGGCGGCTGGCCTATACTTCATTTCTGAAATAGTCCTTGGATTTGTTTATTGTGATAAATGATCAATTAATCTTAGAGAAAATTCTCCAAATGAATATTCTTATCTACTTTTCTTGACCCAAAGGTGGATCCTATACACAATTTTAGAAAAATTGATATTAATAATAATAATAATATTCCGCATCCGAAAAAAGGTATTATAAGCCGAAAAATAATATTTTTGCTATTTGAATATTTACAAAAGACCTACACATTAAGTCGAAAGTATTGGTGACATGACATACTGATTAATTAATGAATAAATATATGATGGGTTATCAATTAATTGATGTGTCATGTCTCCTACCACTTATGCTTAAGAGACAATTTCTCTTAACCTATTATGGTAAATAGGACTCGAACGCTACTATGAATTCATTGAATGTATTCATCGTACCATACAAGAACTATAATTTGGCCTCTAAATTAAATTATGCGTGCCGTGAACAAAATATAATTAAATTATTCAAGTACTAGCAAACATGAATTGCATAATTGAATATGAGTTTCTTTGTGTCCTAAAACAAAAAATGGAATCGCACCTCCAATTCCTTGGAACATTTTCTTTTTGAACTTGAAATGGGATTTGGATTTCATGGATATGTGGCTGAGCCAGTACTCGGGACCTAGTTTAACTACGAATTTTTATTTTTCTNGACTGCTTCTCTTCTATATACACTCTCTTCTCCCACATTTAGTCCTCACACATTCCCAAGAAAATCTCTCTCTCTCTCTCTCTCTCTCTCTCTCTCTCTCTCTCTCTCTCTCTCTCTCTCTCATATTTTGACTGTAGAATTGGATTGCTGGTAGAAGAAAGAAAAGGATCAACAACGTTTTCAGAAACTAACAGAACAGACAACATGGTTCATAATGTGTTCACCACCACTGACGAGGATTTCGCCTTCTCTGCCTATGACCCTTGCTGCCATAGCGAGTATTCCTCCCCGACAATGATGTCCCCATGGAACCCAACTTCGCCCTTCATGAAATCTCCGTGGTCAAATTTCAATGAAACAGTACTGACTACAAACTTACCTCAAAATGGCTTAATCGGCTCGCTTGTTCGCAAAGAGGGCCATATATATTCCTTATCTGTCAAGAATGAAATTCTCTACACTGGCTCAGACAGTAAAAACATTCGTGTGTGGAAGAACATGAAAGAATTCGCTGCGTTCAAATCTAACAGTGGCTTTGTCAAGGCAATTATTATATCGGGTGACAAGATTTTCACTGGCCATCAAGATGGAAAAATTCGAGTATGGAAGATTAGTTCCAAAAATCCCAGCAATCACAAACGTGTAGGGACTTTGCCCATGTTCTTTGACATTTTAAAAGCCTCCATTAGGCCAAAAAATTATGTGGAAGTCAAGCGAAAAAGGACCACGCTATGGATAAAGCACGCTGATGCAATTTCTTGTATGAGCATAAATCCAGAGGAAGAGTTTCTGTACTCTGGTTCATGGGACAGGACGTTTAAGGTCTGGAGGGTTAACAACTCTAAGTGTGTTGAATCTGTCAAGGCACATGATGATGCTGTCAACTCGGTGGTTGCCACCCTTGACGGCGTGGTCTATACCGGATCAGCTGACGGGACGGTGAAGGTATGGAAAAGAGAACAAAATGGTAAATATATTAGGCATGTTTTGGAGCAAACACTCTTGAGTCAGGAATGTGCCATCACAGCATTGGCGGTGAACAAGTCTGGTTTGGTTGTCTACAGTGGCTCATCAGATGGACTAGTGAATTTCTGGGAACGCGAGAAGCAGTTGTCACACGGAGGAGTACTCAAGGGTCACAAACTGGCGGTTCTATGCCTCGCCACGGCCGGGAATCTAGTGGTCAGTGGCTCAGCTGATAAAACCATATGCGTCTGGAGGAGGGTGGCCGCGGTTCACACTTTCCTGTCGGTGTTGAGTGGGCACACCGGACCTGTCAAGTGTCTCACGCTGGAGAAGGATAAAGAATCCTCAGGCGGCGATCAGAACTGGATGGTGTATAGTGGGAGTCTCGATAAATCTGTCAAGGTGTGGAGCGTTTCAGAAATGGCGCCCGGTGCACAGCAGATGGCTATGCCGCAACATATTCGAGGAGATATTAGCTGGGAATCAATACTATCAGCAAAGTACTGATCAGATCAAAATCAAATAATTTAGTATTTTGATTTGGAATGGTTGATCCTGGTGTGTATGGTGGTGAAACTTTTGTATAGTAAAAAGTTTCTGAATATTTGTTTTTATAAATGGAGTATGGATGATAACTGATGACTGCTAATAACATTGGTGTTTATAGAATAGGATTATATTTACTCGACATTAACACAGAAACATTTGCGGATTAAAAAATCTACAAAATTTCCATTATGAATAGATAAAGAGACTAAAATCCCCTTAGTGCACCGTACACCACATCCTAGATTAAAATTAGACCTTTACACACCGTATATTTAAAATTTTACTTAGTGGTAATAAAGAAAATAATTAAATTGACCAAAATAATTATAATCGAAAATAAGAAATCACACCCTTTATATTACATTATATTATGTAACACTTTACATTCTAATTTATATAATCGTTCTTTGATTCTCCAGAAGTTAAATTACTATTTTATTTTTATCTTTGCAATGCATCATTTGCAAAAAATATTCATTTTCGTTGTTACACAAAATTATAGAATTTTTACTAATTATATTTATATATTTTTAATAAAATTATGCATGCAGTGTACAATTTTTTTAAGTTGCAAAACTATGGCAATTTAAAATGAATAAAAATAATTTCTTAGCTACAGAATAATAACTAATGTCAAAAATGATTTAATTCATTGAACAAAAAAATATTCATTTCTATCAATTACAAAATAACAATTAAAATTTTTTGTTTGTTTATAAAATTTTAAAAGAGTCAAATGAAGTATTTTCTATATTTTTATTATTTTATTTACTTACAAAGTTAATGTTAAAGTTTAAGAAAATAAGATAATAAATTTTGTAAATCTCGCCAAAAAAAAAAAAAATCAAATAAAACAAAATATCAATAATTAAAAAAAAGTATGCAAAATGTAAACTTTCAATTAATCCCAATTATTTGAACCTTGCTATGTGTGACTGACAAAATTAAGAATCTTCAAGTCTACGTTCTAAACAAATTGGACATAAGCAACTCATCCAAGGAAGGACAAGGACTCAATAGTTTGTTCAATAAGACAACCTGCGGGAGTGCCTCATATTGAATTCAAGTTGTCTTTTCGAATTCAGTCCCTCCATGTGACCACTTCTACTACCAACTGAATTCAAGTCCAAAGCAAGAGCACTAACTGAACTTCCTCCTTCTAGTATTCTCAGTACCTATTAATGGAAAGAAAGTGTTACTTGTGTCCCCTTAAAAAAAGATTATACTACATGTACCGAATTTTTTTACCGAATCTTTTACTTACTATTCACAATGGGGGTGGGGACCATATTGTTGGAATTTTTAAATACTCTCGGGCCCCACGCATTATGTGAGAGAGGGTAATCCATTATGTACAAATGGATTAACCCTAAAAATAAATTACCATTTCGAAGGAGAAAAATGAAAATAATATTGCACCTAAGATGAAAAGAAATGTATTCTGAGATGAATATAAAACCTTTGACATGGGTGGTCTCAAATCGGGATTCTGCCGTAGACACAATGAGGCAGCATAACCCATTGCTTGAATCTCATAGGGCAAGCTTTGTATTTGGAAAGAGGCCAAGCAGGAGTCCAGCAATTGATGCTTGTAAGCCAACATGTGAATTGGTTGAATTGGCTCAATGGCAGCTGAAGGCTGGAAATTATTTGCCAAAAGTTGACGGTCGATGCAATACAGCAAGTCACTAGCTCTCTCACCAGTGATTAGCTCTAATAATACCAAACCAAAAGCATATACGTCGACTTTCTCTGTCATATTTCCACCACTGAAGTATTCCGGTGCAAGATACCTAGATAAGTAGAAACAGAGAAAACTTAACCCAAAAGTTAACAAATAACTAGAAATTGCTACTGTCTTTTAGGTTGAACTCAGTGGAGTAACTATAGACTGAACACATAAATAGCCAACAGCGTCTCATCAAAAATTCAAATTTGATGTTTACCCTGAAGTTTTAACACTTTGATCACTGTTGCAAAAGTCCCACTCACATTGCAGCCTCGCAAGTCCAAAATCAGCAACCTAAATTGAATGGACAACATAGACCAAAGAAGTAAAGTTCAAAGGGACAAATCAAAGAATGGTTTCTTAATGGTCAAGATTAACCGAAGTATCTACTTGAATTCCAAGGAGTAGCTTTCTCTCTATTGCTATTGACTGATAATTTTTGTGGAAATTGTTTGTTTACTCAGATGGACACCAGTTAGTAATTTCGTAGAATGTAAAAGACTTTAAACACTACATTCCTAAAATATTCAGCTTGAGAACTACATGCCTCCAGAATATCAAGACTTATACCAGAGGTTCGAAATCATGCGTCAAGAGGATGTTGTTCGGACGCATATCTTGGTGAATCATACATCCCACTCTGCAATCTTCATGAAGATATCGTAAGCCTCTTGCAGTCCCGATAGCTATCTTTAAACGTGATTTCCAATCCAGTGTCATTCTTTTCTCTCCTGCAAATGAATACATAAAATGAAAATAAATTTTGAGGAGCCATAATCAGTAGCCGAACTCGGAGCAGAAAATACCATGTAAATGAAAGTCCAAGGAGCCATTGCATATGTACTCATACACCAGTAATCTCATCTGCCCTTCAATGCAAAAACCTAGGAGCAACACAACATTTCTGTGCTGGGCACAGCTCAATACTCGCACTTGTGTGCAGAAATCATCTTCTCTTTGAGACCCAGCTAACTTTAATTGCTTCACTGCAACGATCAACCCATTCCTCAAAACCCCTCTGTGAACCAAACCAAACCCACCTTCAGCAAGAAAATTTTTATCTGAAAAACCATCTGTAGCTTCCTCTAGCTCTCTATAATGAAATTGTCTCGGGGGCTTTCCAAATGCTGGAGCCTTATATTGACATAGCGAACACAAAGGAGGAGGAGTTGAGGAAGTTCTTCCTAAAGCTACAGCCTCCCGAATTCCATAGTTGAATTCATAATAACCATCAAGGTTTTGATTAAGCTTATTTCCTCCTATTCTATCTTGATTAAATTGTACAAAATTATCCATTTCAGTCGTGACGGTGGAAGATGCAGTATTGGATATATCCTTGCAGTTTTCACTTTCCATGGAATTCTCAGTGACAATGTGATTTTGAGGGATCCAAAAGATTCTTTTATCTCTTTGGGTTCGTGAACCTGGGATTGTCGTAAAAGATTTAATACTTTCCCTTAAATGATCCCTCAAATGATCCAACCTATTTTGTTTACCAGGTGGGGATTTGCCTTTATTTAGTCCTTCGTAAAGCGGATTTTTTTCATACACGACAAATATAGAAGCCCCTGTGTCTGGACTTATTAACGCATTGGTACTTGAGGTTCTTGTGCAAGTACTTGGATCCTCTGGACTGCTAACAGGAGTAGAATGCTTCATTCTCTGGCTCTGTAACTTCTCCCTATCTAAAAGAGGAGAAGAAGCAGCAGAATAAAATGGCGTTTCAA